ACATAACACCCAACCCTATGCTTCACTGTTTCCCATATTCTTTAGCTTTATACAATAGGAAAGGTTATTTTCTGTAGATGTATGCAATGTGGTATGGAGGTATTTGATAAAAGTGTTTCAGATGTGTAGTTGGAGTATAAATCAAAAATTAAGACCTAAAAATATAGAAATTTAATTGACTGGAAATCCCAGTGTATTAGTCAGGGTTCTCTAGAGTCACAAATCTTATGGAATAAATCTCTTTCTCTCTCTCTCTCTCTCTCTCTCTCTCTCTCTCTCTCTCTCTCTCTCTCTCTCTCTCTCTCTCTCTGTGTGTGTGTGTGTGTGTGTGTGTGTGTGTGTGAATTTATTGGAATGACTTACATACTGCAATCCAAAAATGGCTAGCTGTGAATGAAAAGTCCAAGAATTTAGTAGTTGCTCAATCCCTTGAGGCTGGGTGTCTCAGCTGGTCTTTTTGTATATGCTGGAATCCCAAAGAAGTAGGCTTCAATGTCTGTTCAGGAATGAATGTGCTGACAAGATGAGGGAAAGCAGCCTTTTTCCATTGTCCTGCTAGCAGAAGGTGTGACCCAAATTAAAGGTGTGGCTTCCAGCCTGAAAGTCTGGATTAAAGGTGCATGTCATTCAGCCTCAGGATCTGGATCAAAGGCATGTTGTCTTCTTGCCTTAAAATCCAGGGGGCAACTGTGCTCTCCATTTCTGAATTATAGTACATTCCAGATATAGTCAAGTTGACAACCAAAAATAGCCATCACGATCCACCCCTTGTCAACTTGGCACAGAATTATATCACCTTATGTCATGATTAATTTCCAAATGAAAAATAATAACCATGTCATAATTATTCCTAAACACAATGTAACTATCCTACAATTGTGAATGCATTATATATTTAGAATAGTGGTAATATTTCTTGGGGGATATCTTTCTGGTATTTCAAACTTACATCTGATAACCACTGATATTCTCTTAATTGATATTATAACATATGATAAGAAAATGGAAAGAACATACAGATATCTGTACAAATACATTATTAAGAAAATGCAATAGAAGCACTCATGTCAGTTATAATCCTCACTTCTGTAACTGGTGACGTGGCCTTAGATGATATTTAGAACTACATTCCTCTACTATGCATTCTGTATATCTTCCACCTTCTGCAAACACTTCAGAAGCTTTGGGTCTTTTCCTGGATAAGTGACCCATACCTCCATTCCTGATGCATCTGTGCCCTTTGTCATCCTTCCTGGATTAGATTGTTGTAGTTTCCCATTAACTTTAATCACAGGGCATAATAGCACCAAGAGATGCCCTAAAGGATCTCCTGCACTCCAGATATCATCTTGCTTACCTCCATTGTAGAGAGGCAATCCAATTTCCCCATGGTAATCTGAATATATCATCCTTTCTAATGGTGTTATTCCTTTCTTAGTCTGTTGGTTTAAGGGCATTTGAAGCCCAAAATGACCAGGGGGAAGTCTGACTTTCCAGTTCAATGGAATGTTTGTTGTGACTGGGCTCCTGGCAGAAGCACTCTCTACTCTGGAACCAAAATTTCTAGGCCAGCAGAACTTAGAGTTGTGAATACAAGAAGCAAAAACTTTCCTAGTCGGTTACTAGGCTGATAGTGACTGGAACTATTTCTTTTACCATTCCTTGATTCCTGGACCCATGGAGATCCTGGCTATAGGAGAAACCATACCATATATCAGATGGTGATCCAGGGCATATACTGCCTTCTGGAGAACCTTGCCCCAGCCCTAAAGATGCTGCCACCTAATTGGTACTGTAACTGTGTCTTCAAAAGACCAAAGTCCATTACATCTCTCTATCAGGCCAGCTTCTTCAAGATGCTGGGGAACATGGAAAGACCAGTAGCTTCCATGATTGTGGGCCACTGTTGTACTTCTCTGGCTGTGAATTGAGTTCTCTGGTCAGAAACAATACTGTGTGGAATATCACATTGGTGGATAAGACATTCTATAAGTCCATTGATGATGGTTTTGGAAGAAGCATTATATGTAGGAAAGGCAAATTCATAATCAGAGTAAGTATCTACTCTAGTAGGGAAAAAGAGTTGTCCTTACCATGAAGGAAATGGTCCAATGTAGTCAACCTGCTACTAGATTGCTGACTTGTCACCCTGGCTAATGGTGTCATATCTAGGGCTAAGTGTTGATCTCTGCTTTTGGCTGATCTGGCACTCAGCAGCAGCAGTAGCCAGGTCAGCTATGGTGAGTGGAAGTTCATGTTGTTGAGCCCATGCACTGACCCCATCTCTGCCATCATGGCCATATTGCTCATGGGCCCATTGGGCAATGACATAAATGGCTGGGAAAGGAGACTGACTGTCTACAGAGTGAGCCTATCTGCTTGATTACTGAACTCCTCCTTAGCTGAAGTCAGGTTTTGGTTAGCATTTCCATGGGATACAAATATCTTCATACCCTTAGCCCATTTGGAGAAAACTATCCACATACTTCTCTTCCCCAGATGTCTTTTCTCACCAATTTTCCAATCATGCTCTTTCCAAGTCCCTGATCATCCAGCCAATCCATTTGCAGCAGCCCATCAATCAGTGAATAGTTGCACAGTAAGCCATTTCTCCTTCCAAACAAGCTGTATGACTATGTGTATTGCCTGAACTTCTTCAGTATTTCTCCCTTCACTTCCCTTCACCAGCATCTTTCAGGGTTGTCCCAGAATGGGGTTGTAATGCTGCAGGTGTCTACTTCTGTGTGGTGCCTGCATGATGTACAGAACCATTAGTAAACCAGGCCTTAGTCTTTATCTTCCTCAGTCAACCAATCATAGGGAACACCTCATGAGGCTACAGGTGTATGCTTGGCAGCAGAAAGCATTGTAACAGAAGTAGAAACCATAGACATTTGGGCATCTTCTTCATGTATCTTGCTTGTGCCTTCAGGACCTGCTTGGGCCTGATCTCTTATATACCACTTCCATTTGATAATAGATTGCTGCTGTGCATGTCCTACTTTATGACTTGGTGGATCTGATAACACACAGCTCATGATGGGCAGTTCAGGTTCCATGGTAAAATGGTGGCCCACTGTCAAATGTTCAGTTTCTCCCAGTGGCTGGAATTAATGGCATGTGCTCACATGCTTGGCCATGTTTATTTTTGAAAATGATTCTAATGGGCACCAGTGGCAGACACTGGAAATGACTTTAAGAGGTATTATATTGTCCCAATTCTCCAATGCTTCTTTTCTTGTATGTTTTAAGTTATCTTCTTTTCTAGGGGTGTGTGTGTGTGTGTGTGTGTGTGTGTGTGTGTGTGTGTGTGGACTGTGTAGCAGAGGGTTTAAAACTTACAATGATCGCCGGGCGGTGGTGGCGCACGCCTTTAATCCCAGCACTTGGGAGGCAGAGCCAGGCGGATCTCTGTGAGTTCGAGGCCAGCCTGGTCTCCATAGCGAGTTCCAGGAAAGGCGCAAAGCTACACAGAGAAACCCTGTCTCGAAAAACCAAAAAAAAAACCAAGAAAAAAAACTTACAATGATCTTCCTGCCTCTGTGTTCAGATTGCTTGTGCTAAAAGGATGCACTACCACACACAGTTTGAAAAATAATTTTTATTGTTCAAATCTCCTCTTTTTATTGTGGCCAGGAAGGCCAGGATATGGTGTTAGAACCCCTGATACTGGAGTTATAGATAGTAGTGAGCTTCTATATGTACTGGGAATAGAAGCTGGATAATTTGAAAGAATTTTCAGTGCTCTTAACTGCCAAGGTATTTTCCACCCTAAGTTTTCTATTCTTGATTATGTTTCCTGTCCATGGCAGCCTAGTCAGGGTCAGACAGCTGATGCTCATTAAAAAGTGGAATTTGCCTCCATTTGAGAGAGTTAGCCTCAAGCAGGGATGAGCTCCCTAGTTGTTTATCCAACACAATGTGGTCAGCCCATTATCCATATATATACAACCAACCAAAATGGGTGCAGAAGGTTGTATTCATGTATTTCAGTGTTCTTATTCACCCATATTTAACAAGGAAGAGGTTGGAAGGGATTTGGGAAGGGATGGAATGAAGAGATAAAAGTGGAAAGTGATGTAATGTCTTTTAATTAACAATTTATGAAAATAAATTTTAAATAAAAAAGGACTAGATAGATGACTTAGCAATTAAGAGCACTGGGTGATTTTACAGAAGACCCAGGTTCCATTCCCAGAACCTGCATGGTAGCTAACCATTTGATATAACTCCAGTCTCAGGCATCTCCCATCTTCTGGCCTCTGTAGGTACTGTGCAGAGACACATACAAGCAAAACATCATATAACTAAAGTTATTTTTTAAAAGTTAGAAAAATGAAAGAATGAAATTCTCTACAATGATGTCATAGCCCTGAGACAGACAGCAAGCCAGGGCTAGTTAAAATGAGTTCCTCTGGTCTTGCATTAAAGCAGCTGTGGCCTTCTGCTGAACCAGTCTGCTCAGAGGCAAAAGCACCTTTGTTCTGAGATTAATAGAGATTATTATAACCATTTATCTAGAAGCAGAGTATACAGTGCTTTAGGTGACTTTTCCTTGAAGTTTTCTGTATTTGTGTTCTCTATATTTTATATCTATGAGAATTGTGGCATTGGTACAGTTATCTTTTAGATTAAACATCACGATTGACAGGTCACATAGACTCCAAAGCAATTTACTTTTACTGTGTCATTTACTTGGTTTTCAGCTAAGACCTTGTGGTGCAAGATAAATACACCAGAGGCATTTTTTTCCATCATTTTTATAATTTATATATGTTCTTGCATGACTTTGAGGTAAGAAAGTCCCTAAATGTCTCTACTTTTACATTGTAATCATGTTCAGAAGTGTATTTGTTAACTGAGCATGCTTGGGAATAGGCAGAACTCTATGTAAACGTGTCTAAACTCCCTAAGTAAAATTCATATGCTTCCTTTGTTTAGGAAAAGCATTGTTTTGGAAATAATTCTCATGCTCTCCTTGCCTCCTGCAGGTAAGAAATCTTTTTCATTTCTTCCATCTTGGCTGTTGTGATAGCTATTCTTGGTAGTCAAACTGACTACATCTGGACTTAACTAAAACCCAAAGAGTTAGATACACCTGTGAATGATCTTTCTTAAAGGTTTTGAAGTTAAAGACCCATCTTTAATCTGGATCATTTTAGGTGATATGATCCAACTTTAGCTGCTTGGTGGCAGTGCACACCATTAATCCCAGTTTTTAGGAAGCAGAGGCAGTCATAATTTCTGAGTTTGAGGCCAATCTGGTCTGCAAAATGAGTTCCAGGGCTACACAGATAAACCCTGTCTCCAAAACACCAAAATAAACAAACAAACAATCAAACAAAGAATAAGATCCACCTTTAATCTGGATTGTACCTTCTGGTAGCAGCTGACATATATAAAGGATATTGAAGAAGGAAGTTCTCTCTTTTTGCCTGCTTGTCCTAACTCTGATTATCAAGTTCATTCCTTTGCTAGCATTAGAACCCACTTTTTTGGAATTCTGGTGTATCCTGAAGACCAGCTGAGACATCCAGTCTCATGGAATGAACAACTATTGGATTCTTCACATTCCATTGGTAGGCAGCCATTGTTGGGTTACCTGTACCACAGTTTGTGAGACATTCTAATAAATCCACTTTCTACATACATGGAGAGATTTATTCTACCAGTCCTATTCATGTAGAGAATCTTAAATAATGCAGCTATTTTTTTTTTATTTATTTATTTTTCTCCACCTGCCCACCGAGGAAGATGTGCTGGCTAACAGTAGTGCTCATAAAGACATTTTCCTAGCTTCATTATTCTCTAAGTATTCAACTTTCTGTGAAGCCTACTCTTTTTGTTATTATTCATTTGCCAAGAATTTGCTCTGAATTTCAGGAATAAAACTCCTAAAGCAATGGAGCCATCATCTAGCCTTCTGATTGGAGAAAGACCTATTATCTTGTTTGAGATCTGGTTCCTGCTTTTCATTCCTGGTTGTCTGAAGTCCCTCCAGTTCATCTGATCTCAGTATGAAACCACGGAACAAAGATCTCCTTTTGTGTCCTTAAATCTCCTTTTAATTGTTAGCATTCTGGGTACCCTTCCACCTATGCGACAGGGTATCATAGTATAGTATAGTGGGCTGTGCAAGCTAACTAGCCACATTGTATCCTGGAGGAAAAAGGGAAGTGTCTATGGAGTGCAGGAAGATAGCAGGGTCTGCTGTTGGAGGCAGAGACAAGGGCTATTGAAATGCATATCTCTGCTGATCTAGAAAATGTCTCTGTCTGTGGTGGAAGGCAGGGTCGAGAACCATTGTGCTGTGTCTTTAAGCACACTGTAACCCTATGGGAGGTGCTATTGTCACTCAGGCCTCACTAGCCAATCAGGCCCTCTAGGCGACCTACCAGTCAGAAGTGGTGCAGGGCTCCTCTGGGCGCCCAAATTCAGGCTTGGCTTTGAAGAGGAGCTGCCACCAGTGGTTTTGTGTGCCGTTCTGCCATTGCTGCTGAAAGGAGCTTGGATGAGCTGGGAAACCACAACATGGTAAGTGAGGGACTGCTGTCCCCAGATGGGTAGGAGCAGATGGTGAGGTGCAGCAGCCAGTGTGGTGGGTCCTCCCCAGATCTGGGTGGGAACTTGCAGCCAGATTCCCTGTCCTGTGAGGTCCCATGTGGTCTTTGCAACTCCCTGGACCCAGGGGCAGGCCTCTGAGTAATTTTCCTGTGTGGGCTGAATCTACTCAGAGCATTGGGAGCAGGGAGCTCTGTGTAGAAACATTTTTGTAGTCAACTTAAACATGCTTTTGGTGCATCCATGGAAAGCAGGTTGTGAAACTTGGAGAGGTCTAGTTTCTCCAGTATCTTCTAGAAGTTCAGCACTTTGCATTTAATCTTTACGTGTAAGATCCATTTATAGTAAATTTTGTGGAGGTTGTAAAGGGCATCTCAAGTGTTGTGTAGCATTCCACTAATACGCCACCATGTAGAAGAGTAGAATTGGTGATTTAAAAAATTTACCAATGCTTAGGAGATTGTAAGTCTCACAAAGTAGAATTCAGCTGAGGGAAGACTACCTGTAAAACACCCAAAAGATAAGTATATGCTAACCAGCCCTGTTAGAGATTAGAATGCTAGGGTACACATTTGTTCACCAGGATTGTCCAAACATTTGGCTTCAAACCATTACAAAGAAGCAGCCCCTGATTTACAACTAGCCACTAGACCAATCCCCATATCAAAGAACAGGCTGCTAAAGGCGGCATTCAGAGTCACAACCAACCTTAAGGCCTGCTGTGCCATAAAGTTCCAGTTTTCTTGAGAAAAGCATAGTTCTGTCAGATGGGCAATATGAAACCAGGTGGCAACTATTTGATAAGTAAAAGACTGTTGTGTTAAGTGTGGGCCCTGGTCCCCCACTGTGAGTGGCTGCTGCCTTGCTTGCTGACCTTGACCAGATGTCCTCCCTATTCAGATTCCCTGCCGGTTTCCTTCTCACCTAACTGATCAATGGGAGGTTCTTTGTTCCTGTATCCTGCATTTGGTGTAAACAGGTTAGATGCAAAAATGTAGCTCCGGGGATCCGCCATTCAGCTGTGGCAAATGACTCGCTGTCTCTTGTCCCTTATTTTTTAATCCGCAGCCCCTCCCTCGGACATGGTGATCAGTAATACGGGTGTTGCCATTACAAATGGAGGTCCTACTGAGATTCTACCAAGACACTACCAAGATCCAAGAAAGAAGGAACGAGCTGACGGACACTCTTAGAAGGCTGGCCAGCATTTTAAAGAAAAAAGAAAAGGTATGAGTGAATTGTCATGGGTGCAAATAGGGCACCACCGAAGTTAAGAAAGGGCAAGACAGCTAAAGATTTTAAATAAAAAAGGAAATCTTCCCAAAAGAGAAGAGGGAAGGAAAGGAAATTTCTCTTTAGAAAAGGGAGAAAAAAATTTTAATCAAGGAAAAAGGATTTTCCTGGAAAAAAGGGGAAAAATTTTGAAACTAGGCCTAAAGATTGGGGCCCTGTAGAGAAAGGATGAACAAAAGAGAGAAGCCTCTTCCCAGTGGTAATGGAGGAAGAAAAGATTTTTTCCAATTGTAGAATTTTCAGGATAGCTGAAACTCTGAGCTCTTTCTGCAGTGCAGCATCTGAATTACAAAGAATCGGCAGGTAGGCCTCGTTGCTGTTGGCTGAACAGCAAGTGAGCCCAGAGGTTAGAAGTTTTGCTGTCTGTTTGCTTATTTTGGTTCAAACGCTTTTTATTTTTCCCTCGAAGTGGGAATAATTCAATATTTAGGATCCCTTCATGGGAAATGTTTTTCTGTTTTTCCCTCATGGTGGGAATAACTCATTAGGTAGTCCCTCATGGGAGTAGGAAGTTTAAATGTGAGTTTGTGTGTGCGGGGCATGCCCCAGCGGTGACAGCGGCGGACAAAGGCATGCATGAGATAGCCCGGAGTGGCGGGCAGACAGGTATGCGCCAGTGGGAGGCGGAACTGCGATGGAGCGCGGCCCGGGCGGGCACCAGCACTAGAGCCCAGGCACCAGCACTAGAGCCTGAGCACTGGGCAGAGCCAAAGCTAAGCCACAACCTCAGCTCGCTCCAAGTGAACAGAGGACCTATTGCTAAAAGTTTAAACAGGAATGCGCGCGCGCGTGCGTGCCTGTGTGTGTGTGTGTGTGTGTGTGTGTGTGTGTGTGTGTGTTGCCTGTCCAGCATGGCTGTGGTCAAAGAGATAGCCCGGAGCAGCGGGTGGGCAGGTACGCACGGGCAGGAGGCGGAGCTGCAAGGCCAACGGAACGGACCAAGGGAGCTGAGTCCGGGAGAGGGACTAACCCTAAAAGTTTAAAGGGGCCCAACTTCTGATGAAAAATGGTTTCAGTCAGGACATAGAATGCTAAGTCAATGCTGTGTGAATAAAGGATGTTTTGTTCTTTTGATTGTCTTAATAAATGTTTGGATGAATATTTGATTCTCATGGTTATGGTGATATTTTATTTGTATTAAAATATTATTTGTATGTTAATAAATAAAGTTGCCCGGGGGTCAGAGCTATTAGCAAGCCATAGGAAAGCAGGGCAGTGGTACCTTACGCTTGTAATTCCAGCACTTGGTAGGCAGAGCTGGGTAAGTCTCTGTGTGTTCAGGGATACAGCCATTATTGGATACACATGCCTTTAATCTTAATACTAATCATGGAAAACCTGGAGGCCTATACAGACAGGCTGTGAGGAGGCGGTCATGTGGTTGGGTTTACAACCAATGAGAAGGCAGGACAGGAACTCTATTATATAAAGACTTTAACACAGGGGTAGCTCTGGTTCGGAGAGGTAGGACCACCGCAGGAGGAAGGGTAAGGTTTTAGCTCTTAGCTCTGACCTCTTGGCTTTCTTCTTTGCATTGGTTCTGTGTTTATTATTTAATAAGAAGGTTGGATACATCTACATTTGGCGCCCAACGTGACAAGAATTCATTAAAAACCGCTTGGCTTGGCTTAGCAGCAGGTCCAGTTTCCAGCCTGGGCGGCCCGGCTGCCTAGCTTGGGCCCAGGCCTGACTGACCCGCAGCTGGAGCTACTTGCAACTGCTACAAACAACTCAGACCTGCCCTGCTGAACAGGGTCCCTGCCTGTAAAGCCAAGGCTTGACTCGGCTCAAGCGACTACACTTTCTCTCTCTCTCTCTCGCTGGATTCACACCTCGAACACCAGGTGGCTGTGAAATTCCCTGGGATTCTACTGTTCTACCCAGACTTGGTAAGTCAATTAACATATCTATTTAAAAGAGAATTTTTTTTCTACATTAAAAAAAAATGGGCTTTATGTTTACATTGGAAGAAAATTGGGCTTTGTTTGAAATTTTAGGCACTCTGACAATGGAACAACTATATGAAAAGATTAATATTGATCGAATTATTCAGTTTATTACTTTTCTTATCCTCATTTTACTATTTAAAAAGATCGTCAACTTAAGTGCCAGGATAACAGTCTTAGAAAAACTTGTTAAACCGGTAAAAATGAATTATAGAGAAATTCAAATTCAGACAGAAGAAATAAATAGTGAAGTTGTTTCAAAATTGGATCGTAAGGTTACAGAAAGAAAGCCAGTTTTCACACAATCACCCTTAATTTATCCAGTAGCCGTACAGCAGCTACCTGATGAAGAGAATGAACAAAATACTTGGGTTCCAGTTGAAATGTTAGACTTACGAAGATTTAAGGAGGCAATAGCATCTTATGGCATGCACTCCCCATATGTAAAGCAAATGTTAAACACCTGGTCAACTTGTAATAGGATTCTACCAAAGGACTGGCGGGAATTGGCACAGGCTGTTCTTGAACCCGGACAAAATCTCCAGTGGAAAATGTGGTTCAGTAATGAGGCTAAAAATATAGAAAGACAATGGAGGGATAGCGGAATACAAGTCTGCCAGGATCAGCTTATTGGCGAAGGCCAATATGCTTCAGTACAAACACAATGTTCATATGATGTCCAAACCCTACTTCTATGTAAAACAGCAGCTTTGAATGCATGGGACAGAGTTGAAGAACCAGGAAAAAAAACTGAGTCATTTACAAAGGTTATACAGGGCCCCAAAGAATCTTTCACAGATTTCTTACAAAGATTGACTTCAGCAGTACAAAAAATGGTCCCGAATTCACAGGCTAGTCAGATAATAATTGAGTCTTTAGCCTTTGAGAATGCAAATGCAGCGTGCAAAAGAATAATTAGGCCGTTAAAGGCAAGATCTGCACCTTTGGAAGATTGGATTAGAGATACAGTTAATGTAGAGGCTTATGACCATGATGATATGTGGTAGGAAAAGCAATTTCAAAAGGTTTGAGCAATGTTAGATGTTTTGGATGTGGAAAGCAAGGACATTTGAAAAGGGATTGTAAACAGGTCATTCCTAGAAAAAATGTTTCTTCAAGGAACACTGGCAACAGAATGCCCCTTCCTTCTGGTGTATGCAGAAGGTGTGGTAAGGGAAAACACTGGACCAACGAATGTAGATCAACAAGGGACAGACAGGGTAACCCTCTGCCTCGAGCTTCGGGAAACTCCCAGAGGGGCCTCAGGCAGGCCCCCACAGTAAATCCAGTTCAAACCTTTCCTGCAGTTGTAGAGGAAACCCCTACTCAAAGCAACTAAATAACCAAATGTCTATTGGAATAAATCATGTTAGTCGAGATGATGAAACAGAGAAAATAGGAAATACAGGAAAAAACATAAAGAAAATTTTTTGGCAAACTTCTATTAATGAACAAAGACCAAAACTAAAAATAAAAATAAATGGTGTTTTGTTGTCTGGTCTGGTAGACACAGGTGCTGACATTACCATAATTGCACCAGAATTTTGGCATCCAACTTGGCCTCTTCAGGAGGTAAACATTCAACTCTTAGGAATTGGGACATTATCTAGAGTGAAACAAAGTGTAAGATGGCTTGAATGTATAGGTCCAGAAGGACAGAAAGGAAAATTAAAACCATATATGGCTAACATAGCTATGAACCTGTGGGGTCAAGACTTGTTACAACAATGGAATACTCAGATTAATATCCCTCCAATCTCAGAAACAAATCATAAATTAGTACATGTTTCTGAGAGAAATATTAAAAGATATTATTCTAATGAGTGCTCACCAGCCATCCATGTCATACAAGAACAGGGCACAACAACTGATAATCTTCCAAAAACATTAACAGCTCTACCTTTAAAATGGTCAACAGACAAGCCTGTATGGGTTCAGCAATGGCCTTTAACAACAGAGAAATTCCAGGCTTTACAAGAGCTGGTGGAAGAACAGTTAAATGCTCATCATATTGAAGAATCAACCAGCCCTTGGAATTCTCCTGTATTTGTTATAAAAAAAAAATCTGGTAAATGGAGAATGGTAACAGACCTTAGAGCAATTAACAAAGTAATTCAGCCAATGGGCTCTTTACAATCTGGAATTCCTTTACCTACTCTGTTACCAAAAGGCTGGCCTCTCATAGTTATTGATTTAAAAGACTGTTTCTTTTCAATACCCTTACAAGAAAAAGACAGAGAAAGATTTGCTTTCACAGTGCCTACTTATAATAATTCTCAACCGGTTAAAAGATTTCAATGGAGGGTTCTCCCACAGGGAATGTTGAATAGCCCAACTTTGTGCCAATATTTTGTAAAACAGCCATTAGAAGTGGTACGTAAAAAATTTCCTAAATCTATAATTTATCATTATATGGATGACATTTTATTAGCTGATTCAAATGCAGATACTTTAGAAAGAATGTTTGAAAAAGTAAAGAAAATTTTGCCTTGCTGGGGATTACAAATTGCTTTAGAAAAGGTACAAAGAGGAGATTCTATTAATTATTTAGGATATAAAATAGAACTTCAAAAAATTAGACCTCAAAAAGTGCAAATTAGGAGAGATCGACTACAGACTCTTAATGACTTTCAAAGATTATTTGGAGACATTTCTCATCTAAGAACTATTGTTGGGGTAAAAAATGATGAACTGAATAATTTGTTTAAAACCTTAGAAGGTGATAAGGACTTAAATAGTCCAAGAGAATTATCACCTGAAGCTGAGAAAGAATTGGCCTTGGTAGAAAAGAAAGTACATGAAGGGCATGTAGATTGTATTAATCCAAAGCTTAATTGCATTTTGGTTATTTTACCTTCTAGGCATTCCCCAACAGGAATATTAATGCAAAGGGAAGATATTATATTGGAATGGATATTTTTACCAAATAAACCAAATAAAAAATTAAAAACTTATGTGGAAAAAATCTCTGACTTGATTTGGAAAGGAAAATTGAGACTTCGTCAATTAGCAGGAATAGACCCAGCAGAAATTGTCGTACCTTTAACTAAGGAGGACATTGAAAAATTATGGATAGAAAATGAAGCTTGGCAAAAAGCTTGTAGTAATTTTTTGGGAGAAATTAACAGCAAATATCCCAAAAGCAATAGAATTGATCTTATAAAGAGAGCTGATTGGATCTTGCCTCGAATTGTGAGGAAAAAACCCATATCTGGAGTTCATACATTTTATACAGATGCCAACAAACAAGGAAAGGCAGGTTACAAATCAGAAAATTTAAGTAAAGTGGTTCAAAGTCCTTATAATTCAGTTCAAAAATCAGAATTGTATGCTATTCTGTTGGTATTAATGGATTTTTCAGAACCTCTCAATATAGTAACTGACTCTCAGTATGCTGAAAGAGTAGTATTACATATTGAGACTGCAGAATTTATCCACAATGCTTCAGAATTAACTTCATTATTTATTCAATTACAAGATACAATCAGAAAAAGGAGTCATCCTTTATATATAACTCACATCCGATCCCATACTGGTCTGCCAGGCCCTCTAGCACAAGGCAATGATGAGATTGATAAATTATTGATAGGAAATGTGCTGGAGGCCTCAGAATTTCATAAAAAACATCATGTAAATAGTAAAGGTTTAAAAAAGGATTTTTCCATAACCTGGCAACAAGCCAAAGAAATAGTAAAGAAATGTCCTACTTGTTCCTTCTACAGTCAAACACCATTACCAGCAGGATGTAACCCAAAGGGTACTCAGAGGAATGAAATCTGGCAGATGGACGTGTTTCACTTTGCAGAATTTGGAAAACTGAAATATGTACACCACGCTATCGATACTTATTCAGGATTTCAATGGGCAACTGCTTTGAGTTCTGAAAAAGCTGATTCTGTAATCACTCATTTGCTAGAAGTTATGGCCATTATGGGTATACCTGCACAAATCAAAACTGATAATGCTCCATCATATGTCTCTGTTAAAATGAAACAGTTTTTTGCCTATTATAATATAAACCATGTTACAGGTATACCACATAATCCTACAGGTCAAGCAGTTATAGAAAGATCAAACAGAACTCTAAAGGATATGCTAAATAAACAAAAAGGAGTAATAAAAACCCCCAGAAATAGACTACATAATGCTCTCTTAACTTTGAATTTTCTCAATGCCAATGAGAAAGGAACAACAGCTTCAGAGAGACATTGGATAATAGAAAAAACTACAGAATTAAATCAACCTATATACTTTAAGGATGTGCTGACCTCAGAATGGAAACCAGGGTATGTGTTACGTTGGGGACGAGGTTTTGCTTTTATTTCTACAGGAGAAGATAAGCTGTGGGTACCATCAAAATTGATAAAGGTTCGATTTGAACAAGAGAGACCTCTTAATTAGAGGAGGTGATAGTTCATCAACTATCGTAAAATTTCCAATTTAAACTAACTTACACCAGTAACACATGCCTTTTCATTTAATCAGATAACTTGTCAAAAAGGAACATCCCCAAAAAACCTTGGGGAAAGGTTTTTGTTTTTGTCTTTTAGGAGAATGAAGGTTAACGAATTTGAAGAACACTGGACAAATGAGACAACTGAAGAAAAGGAACAAATCATCTATCCTAAGAAACAGAGTGAAATGGCGTATGGGTATGTTATCTAAAAAAATTTTATGTCTTCCTAAATGTTTGTTTTTGCTTTCTTTAAAGATTTAACACTATTTAACTTCTAATAGTCCCAGTTCAATTAAAATTTAAAGCTGACTTTGGAGTTGGAGAATGGCTCTCTCCTTCTTTAAACTCAAGCATGTTGTTAAAAAGAAAATGCAAACTCCCTGTATCATGCCAGAAGAAAAGAGCCATCTTCTGCTATGGGACAGGAGAAAAGCCAAATTAATTAAGGGACTATTCTATTACGAATCTCAACTCTTTGATTCTATTCTGATTCTTTAAACTTTTCTTAAAGTATGAATTTTATATCAAAATTTACAAGATCAATATATATAGATATATATACATTTTAAACTTTGTTAAGATATAAATGGTCATATAGAGTACTAACTAATTCTAAAAAGTCGCATATATAGTCTTTGTGTTCGAGTCTCTTATCAGTTTTTTGCAGGAAATCACGGTTAGGCCTAACATCAACTGAAGTCTCCAGGAAGAAGATGGGGCCCCACAACAACAACAATTCCACGTGGACAATAATAACATCACTAAGCTGACAAACATCATCTACAGATCAGCTTTGAACTACAAAGTGCTCAGAGCAATTTTGAGAAGAGCTAGCTGAGATGATCCAGTCTCAAAGACTACTTGAATAAGGATTTGAGATAAACCCTGAATTTTGGCATTATACACAGACTGGATAACGAAGGATATATTTACCTTTTCTAGAATTTGACAATTAACCTAAAATTTTTCTTTCAGGATAAAGATACCTTCACCCATACCCAGCAGGAAGCAATTTCAAGAATACGACGCCCACATTCCCAAAGAGGTGGTGTGGGGTGGTTGGTTTTTTTGGTCTTTTAATGGGTTTTGGGTCTGGGATAATTTTCATTGATTAGGGGGGTTGGTTACAAGTTGTTGTCAAGGGTTAGGAAAAAGGCTAAGCAAAGGAGATTAGATTTAAGATTCTTATTAAAAAAAAAAAAGAAAGAAAGAAAAGAAAAATGTAAATACTTTACATTGGATTGGATTGTTTTATATTGTATACAAATTATATATATTGAAATTGATATTGTTAGAAAATGTTATATATATTTTTCTAATTGTACCGTTCATCTAACAATGTAATGCAATTTTCTGATCCTTGAATGTTATTACCAACTATTAGGATATAAAGAAATGAAAGTTAGTAGTTAGATATTATAATAGAACTTGTAGTTATATTAGGTATGTTTTCAAGATTGAGTAGATATATTTTAGATAGACAGGTTATCTTCAAACCCTTCAGAGATCTACAGAATATGGCATTTAAAATGTTTTAATAACTTAGAAAATTTTTCTTTTTTGTTATCACTATGAGACATGTCGGCTCCTGGCAGTACCAATCTACTTCAGAGAAAATATGGGCATTGAAGAAACTGCATATGGAGTTAACTTTCATTGTGGCAAAAGTTAGCCACTGGACAACAAAGTATCCTTGAATCAACAGGACAAAATGGACAGACAGGACATAAAACAAAGGATTACTGATTCTTGCCAAAACAAGTGTGGTTATGGCTTTATCAAAAGGCATCTTCAGAGGCCAGGACAATATGGCACCATCCCTGAAGTGGCCTTCGCAATTCGAAAAAGGTTCAGTGCCCTTTTCTTCGAAGGCAGCTGAACAGGCAGTGGGCCGATGGCCTCTGATGTGCAATGGAACAGCAGCTGAAACAGTTATTCTTGAAGAGTAACTAAGCTCACGCCTCTCAATAGTAGACTGGCATTTGATAGAGGGATATGGAGAAGAATGGAATGCTGAGATGAAGCCATATATACACAGCCAAGAAGAATGGACAGCTGAATTAAAAAACCATCAACAATTTCCAGAATTTAAAATCCTGAATCATGACATGACACTAGTGGAATTCAGGTGTTTCTGGTACATGGACTACTCTCAATGTGAGGTTGAACTGTTGACCTTGTGTACATCCTACTTCACAAATGAGTCTGTCAGATATGCTAAGCCTATAGGCTGAAGATGATGCCCCAGCACTGCGGAGAAACCTCAGGTGACTGTCCAGGCAGCTGGCTGTTTCTGTCAACTCACAAATTTTTTGGAAGTTGCTTATGTGCACTTCCTGTTTTTATTTTTGTTAGCTAATATTATTTCCTTCTTGGGTTTCTGAGGGAGTTGAAGATTAGTTAGTTATAGTTGAAGTTTAGTTAGTTATAGTTGAAGATTAATTAGGATACATTTTGGACTTACCAAAATAGGATAGATAATGAAATTATTTTCTCTGAATTTGTCAAATACAAATGGACTAGACATTGTTTAGGTATTTATTACTTGTATATATTGTATATAGTTATTGTCCTTTTGTATATAGTTTTTCTTATATTAGTTATAAGCTTTTTCTTTTTTTTCCTTTTTATTAAAATAGAAAAGGGGAAATATGGTGATATTTTATTTGTATTAAAATATTATTTGTATGTTAATAAATAAAGTTGCCCGGGGGTCA